ACTGGGTGACTTTCCGCAAGTTGCCTCCCCACTCTGAGCTTCAATTCTGCTCTGTAAAGTGAGGATAGTCCTGGCTAGCTCATAGGGATGGCCATTACTTGAGAGAATCTGTTAAAGATTTTAGCACATATTAGATGGCAGGCGGCACACACTAGATGTCCTTCTCTACTCTCAACGTTATTTCCAGCTCATTTCTGACCCTACCATCTGGTCCTCCAGTGAGTGAGCAAATCAGCATGTACCAGGGTATGAAGGGGTATTTTAATGTCAGCCCAAACAAAAGCATTGCTTTGCCTTCCTTGATGCCAAGAATATCAAATCAACTGTTAATTATCTGCACTAATGGATACACAGCAGATAATTTTTCTTTGGTCATGTGCCTTATGTGTGAATCTGGGTGTGTTTGATTTCTGGAAGTTCATGTCAAGCCAAATAATGTGGTTCTAGCAGGCGAAGCTAGCTCAGAGAGAGGAGCTGGAGAAATGTCTGCTGACCAGAGCTCTACCCTGCTCTGTAATCCAGCAGTTCTGGGAAGGGGTCACTCTCTTTTCTCAATTAATAGGAGGAGACTGTGTACTTTGGAGTCAGACACTTGGGATCAAGTCTTGACTCTGGCCTCAATGATGAGATAGACTTGTTAGTGGCACTTTACAAGTCTTTTTTTTTTTGGGGGGGGGTGTTACCTGGGATTGAACTCAGGGGCACTCAACCACTGAGCCACATCCCCAGCCCTCAAGGTCTCACTGAGTTGATTAGCACCTCGCTTTTGTTGAGGCTGGCTTTGAACTTAGAATCCTCCTATCTCAGCCTCCCAAGCTGCTGGGATTACAGGCATCACCATGGCTGGCACCTTATAAGTCTTAACTGTATTTACCTTTCAGGGTTTTTGTGAGGATGAAATAAGAGCATGCAACTGCCTCGGTAGCACACACCTGTAATCCCAGTGACTAAGGAAGCTAAGGCAGGAGGATGGCAAGTTCAAGGCCAACCTCAGCAATTTTGCAAGCCCTCGCTAAGCAACTTAGTGAGACCCTGTTTCAAAATAAAAAATAAAAAGGGCTGGGGATGTGGCTCAGTGGTTAAATCCCTGGGTTCAATCCCTGGTACCAAAAAAAAAAAAAAAAAAAAAGAAAAGAAAAGAAAAAAGAATGCACATGCTATATCATCTGGGTGCTTTCCTTCCTTTTCTTTCCCTTCCCCCTTGTCTCTGTCACCTCAGCCATGCTCTGATGGCTCAGGCACACAGCTAAGGTTAGATATTTGGACTTCAGTGGGTTTTACTGCCGACTGCATGGAAGAGCTCAGGCAGGGCTGTTCAGTATGGAAGCTCCCAGCCATGTGTAACTATTAAAGGTGAAATAAACTAAAATGAACAATGCAGCGCCCCACTAACCACCTTTCAAGTGCTCAGCAGCCACAGCGCCTGGTAGTTATGGTCTTGGACAGCCGAGGCAGAACATTCTTGTAGGCACAAAATGTCCTGTTGCATAATGCTGAGCTAGAGGCTAACTACGGAACCTGGTCAGCAGAAGGAAATAAACTAGCAAGGACAGGGGGTTCGGGAAGCTGAGATCTGAGTCAGTAGTGGCCCTATGCACTTGGAGTGTCTGCGAGGACTGGACTCTTCATGCTGGTGCGCTTAGTCTGACACTCAAAGGCTGGGGGACCTCTGAGGCTGGACCAAGAAAGCTGCCCAAGTAGACTTACATGGCCAGGGACAGGTCAGCTCCAGGCTTTATTGACTTACTGTTGCCTAGGTGCCACAGCCCCCAGGTAGGTGTGTTGTGACCATTAGGCCGGGGGACACCACAACCACCACAAGACCCTTTAACCTGTCTGCAGCTCTATATTCTTGCATTTGTCTCCCATCCTTGGCACAGACACTGTAGATACTGACATGGCCTCACCCTGCCATAGAAGACACTCATCCTCTAAGAATGGATGGTAGTTCCTGCACATGACTCTATCTCTCCTTACTCAGTCCCCTTGACTGCAGGGGGCTGACCCTGACATTCTCAGCATGAGCACTCCCAGCCAGGCCTGGTTCCTGGGCTTCGGCAGGCTGCTGGGCTTGGATCAGCCCTGTTACAGCAGCCTGGTGTGCGTGAGTCCTAGGCACCCCTAGACCTTAGCCATCTGACCTCAGCAGCGTGTTCCCAGTTTATGCTGTTTACAAGCCCTGCTTTACTTCCTGACACTGACTAGTCAGTGTCACCTCTCTCACCCCACTGCAGGAGCTGGGCTAGGCCTCTGTGCTCTTGTGAACTGGATTCCTGCTCTGAACTCACGTGTCTTCTGAAACTGCAATTCCAAAATCTGCTCTGATCATCAAACTTGCCCTAAAGATCTCTCACTGGTGTGCTGGGTCTTGCCTTTGGAGTAGCTCACCCTATCTGCCCAGTCAGATTTCTGGCCTTTCTCATTAGCTGCACCAACAGTGAAGTCCTAGCATGCCTGGCAACTGAACCATTAGTGTTGGACAGATTTAGGGAGGCCTGTGGGCTTTCCCAACTTGGGCAGGTTCATGGACAGTCAGAACATGCAGAGTTCAGAGCTGCTGGGCAAGTGGTAAGGTCAGGAGCTGGTCTGGGATTCCACTTGTGAGGTTAACTTGTCCCCATACTTGGGGGTAATAAGGATTTGTAGCTCAGAGTATATTCTGCTCTGATTGCTTCTTTCACAGTTGGGGGCCCTGAGGCAAGATAAGAGATATGGCTGTATATTGGGGGGTCTGGTTTGGGACCCAACCCATCTTGCTTCTGTTGGTCTGAGGTCGCTCAGCCTTTTTCTCCATCCAAGCCTGGGGTCATCGTCTTCCACCCTAGTCCAGTATGAGCTGTTCTTTTCCCTCCCATCTGACCTCTTCCTCTCCCCTCCTGCCACATGAAGTTGTGGTCAGAAAGGTGGTCCCCAGGCATGGCAAGGTGCCCCTACTACCCATTCCCACCTCTGCTTCACTCAACTGCCAGCTGAGAGGTGGGGGCATCCGGGGAGGGGTCTTTGATTCCAGAAACAAACAATGTTGCTACCCCTGCCATTGTTGGGAGAAACCCAAGGGACAGCCCAACAGGGGGTGGTGCCCCTCTCTGCCACCCCAAGCTTTTCTTTTCCCTGGGCTGCTGCTCATTGTCCTTCCTATCCTGGGCTGGACATAGGACCTTAGGCAAGTAACCAAAATCCACCTCGTGCTGTTCAGGCAGAAAGAAGATTTTAATGGTCTACATGGTACCTTCAGTGACAGACACAAGTCAACAACACTCCCCATCTCCCACCTTTGCATCTTCTGAGCTGGCTGTGATCTCTAACTAAAGACTAGTTTCTTCCACAGAAGGAAAACCAAGCCACAGATAGCACCTAAGTCTTAGATGTCAGAGGAGAGGACAGCTATAATCCATGAGTTCTTCATCTTTATCCAAAAATCTCAGAGAAGGGACACACTGGCCCAAGTTCCTGTCCCCAGATGAATAATGGCTAGGAAGAAGTGTCAGATAAGGACATGGGAGCGTCAGCAATGGCCTGTGGATGGGGCCACGGTTCCTTGGAGGGCATGTGACTCCTTAGATGACAGTACAAGGGAGAGCAGAACAGGTGTGGCAAGGCCTCTTGGGCAAGGGCAGGGGTTCACGGGGTGAATTTAGCCCTCTCTGCCACGGTGATTTCTTAGTGGCAGTGTGCTGGCTTAGAGAAGGAACTGAGGAGAGGATGGCTATGAGGATTTGGGGGATTTGTTCTGGAAATGGGCATTAATGGTGTCCCAGGTAGGCTGGCACCATAGAAACAGTGTGAGGCTCTGCCACCTCCACAAGACTTAGCATCTATAAGCCTGATCCCCATATCTAAAAGTATGCAGGAAGTGAGTTTTGCTGGCCTCACCAACCTGTGGATGCAAATGAAATCGCACTTGCCAATGCCCCACTGTTTCTGTCCCATAGCTCCTGGTGTGTGTGACCCCCTACTTACTGAGCTTGGAGAACTCTTAGGTGTCCATTGCTTACTATTTCATGATTGAATTCATTCTGCAAGCCACAGAGAGGCTATAGGGTCCCTGAAAGTGTCTTCATTCCACATCCATTGCTGTCCCAGGGGCCTTAAACTTGCAGACAGCTTGGGTGGCAAGTGTCACCACATATCCATTGGTCCTTACTACATGGAACCACTTGGAATTCCATGAAGGGGGGAGAAGATTCACCAAAGCCAGCTCATACTTTGTCACTGGGCCCCAGAGCAGTGTGGCTTGTGAGGCTTCTCTCACAAGATTCCCAGGAAAAAGACGCCCTTGACCTCTGCCAGCAGCTCCCCTCCCTTTCTAAGGTTCCAACCTGGTCCCAGGAGCTGGGCTGGGAAAGGTATTAAACTCTGGCCTCTTTCTCCAGGACCCTGCCTTCTGCATACTCCCACATCAGGCCTGCTCCTGTCAATGGATGCTAGGAGGAGGGGACACTGTCCTTCAACCTGTCAGATAAAACCTGACTCTGAATCCCAGTTTAACCTTGTCCAGAAAACCCTCTTTGCCAGAAATGCAATTCCTTTTCAGATCGCTGTGTTGATTAAAGGAGTTACACGAAGGGACTCAGAAAATGTTGATTCCCTTTCCTGAATCCTACGAGTTCAAGGCATTCCTCTGGGAAGGCAGGGGCCATCATTTTCAACTTGTATAGCTGCTGGGAACCAGAGGTGCCCACTCAGAAGGTCAGGGATCCCTGGCACGGCTTGGCCAGATGAAACCAGGGTTCTCCCAGCCAGTAGCTCTTGTGTAGTTTCTTAGGGGGAGGTTGGTGAGGGGCTGTGGTGGAATCAAAGATCCCGGCTGGTGGTAATATGTCACTGTCTTAAGACAAAAGGCCAGGGAGAGGGCCTCCTGGCTGAGGTGTGGACAGGAGACCTCAGACTTGAGAGGGGAGAAAGAGGCTGGAAATTTCTAGAGTCCTGAAAACCAGCGTTTCACCTGCGCTGCCCCCTGCAGTGTGCGTGTCTACCCCGTTGAAAGTGAAAAGCCGGCTTTCCTCCTGGCAGGAAGGACGGCACTCAGCCTCTGCCAGGGTGCGCCAGACAGCAGGCCCATCAGATAGGAAACACTCGTGCTCTGGCTCAAAGGCCTCTCCCTATGTTGGAATGATAACGAATCTACCAGGGTTGGAGGGTAGCCTAAAGGCAGGAAGGGGAGAGCTGGCTTCAAGAGTTCAGCTGAAAAGTAACATGGGGACAAGGACTAAACAAAGGGGAGGGAGAAAGGGCTAGGCCAAGGTCTTGGAGATGTTTGAAATCTTCCTGAGAGGAGGTGTCCTCCCCAGTCAGGTGTTCTGGGTTCTGGGAGCCAGGCCCAACTGTCCCTAAGCCCCTCCTCCTCTTTCCTGGGAAAGGCCCTCAGTGAAAGTTCTGGCTGCATCACTCGGTCCCCAGCACAAGTTGGGACCAGATCACTGACCCATGAAAGGAGCACACAGAGGTGGTGTTCTTGGGGACCAGGCAGGGTCAGGGTCAGCTGGAAGTTGAACTTCAAGGCTGGAGCCCAGAGGAGCTGAAGCCAGAGGAGATGGCTGTGAACGTGTGGCTCTCAGAACACCCTCCTGTGAAGCAGCCGGTAAGACCTGCTGTCATTCAGCTTTCATTTTCCACAAAAAGACACATAGAACCTAGTCACACACACAATGGAGGTTCCATCTCCCGTAGGAGCACAAACGGCCACGCGCATGCCTGTGGACACACATGGCCCGATACAGGACAGCACTTCCTCCCATCCTCAGCCACTCTGGTGCTGGAGAGTTTGTCCAGGCCCAGCATGGTTTGTCCCCTCCTCTTCTGCCCTCACCCCACCCCCACCCAGCCCCACCCCTGAGAAAGTACAGCTCAGGGGTCCCCAGGGCTGCACAGGAAATGCTTTGTACACTACGGGTCAGCCAGGCTATTTTCTGTCCCAGGACTGGAGGGAGGTTGGGCCAGGAGCAGCCTGTCACGACACACTCAGCTGTACTTTGCCTTTCTTTTTTGTGGATTTTTCTCTGCCTCTACAATCAGTAGCGGGTGTATCTCTGTCTCTGCGTCTCTGTCCTGACACTGTTTCTCTTTCAGGCCTCAGGATCATTTTGACTCGATGTCTTTGCCACCTTTCACTCGATGGTGACCTAACAGATCCTCCAGAGCTTAGCTCAGTGCCACCCCTTCAACAGCTTTCTCTGATCCTTTCTCTCCCCATCCCCAGAGCCATGTGCAGAAGGGACGCTGAGGAAGGTGCTCTGTGGATGAGCTAGGTCCCTCCTCCCCAGCTGGACCAAGGGCCCTCACCCTGACTTAATGACAGTGTTTCTCAGCATTGGAACACAGAGACATACATTACACGAGTGTCCATGTTTACCTCCATTATTCATTTACTCACACGAAGGGAGGCAGCACCTGTAACGGTTAAGAACCTGACTGTGTAGCCAGACAGCCTGAGTTGCAATCTTAGCTGTGTGACCTCAGGTGAGTCACTTGACCTCTTTGGGTCTCAGGTGCCTCCACTGTAAGATGGGGATAAGCTAGCACTTGCTTCCTTGAGTTGTTGGGATAATGAAAAGAGTTAACAGGTGTAAAGTACTGACAGCAGTGCCTGATCATCACAAGTACTTTCAAATGTCATCTGCTGAGATGGAGAAATTGCACTTACTGGTACATCCCCCAGGGAGAAAACTATTTTTGGAAAGGATACTTTGACTAATCACTAGGGTGGAAGCTCTATTGTCAAAAGCTATATCCTTGAGTAACAAGAGATGGTTGCTAACCTGTCTTTATTTATTTATTTAGTGGTGCCTGGAATGGTACCTTGGCTCTTGAGCATGCTAGGTAAGTGGTACCCTGGCTCTTATGCTAGGTAAGTGCTCTACACCCCAGGCCCTCAACTGCCTTTATTTAAGGAGGGTGGTTTGAATAACTGCAGGGCTTTTGTTTAGTTGAGTGTTATGCCACTTCTGGGCCAGAGCTGAATTGCTTGAGATGGGGCAATCTGGGTAGGGTAGGGGGCAAGGGCAAGAAGGAGATGTGTTAGTTAGTTTCCAGTCACTGCTGAAACAAATCGCAACACACTTATGGCCTTAAACAGGATTGATTACTGTAAGAACAGTACAATTTCTTATCTTACAGTTCTGGAGGTCATAATTCTGAAATGAACATCACTGGGCTAAGGCGAAGGTGTCAGCAGGCTGAAGGCTCTCAGGAAGGGCCCATTTCCCTGCCTCTTCTGGAGAGGCTCCTACATTCTTTGGTACATGGTTCCCTTTCTCTATCTTTAAGGCTGACTCCAGGGCTCTCTGAGCCACATCCCCAGCCCTTTTTATATTTTATTTAGAGATTTAGAGACAGGGTCTCACTGAGTTGCTGAGGCTAGCTTTGAACTTGGGATCCTCCTGCCTCAGCCTCCTGAGCCACTGGGATTATAGGTGTATGCTACCACATTCCTTTTATACTTTTTTTTGAGGGGGGCACTGGGGATTGAACTCAGGGGCAATTGACCACTGAGCCACAACCCCATTCCTTTTTTGTATTTTATTTAGAGACAGGCTCTCATTGAGTTGCTTAGCGCCTCACTTTTTTTGCTAAGGCTGGCTTTGAACTTGAGATCCTCCTGCCTCAACCTCCCAAGCCGTTGGGATTACTGGTGTGGGTCACTGCACTGGCTCATTTTATACTTTTAATGGCTTCTTTGACAACCCCCCAAAAGATATTCTCCTTCTAAATGTCAACTGAACCTTCATTCCCTTTTTATGGAGGAGAGGTTCTATGGATCGAATGCAGGGCCTTGTGCATGCCAGGCAAGTGCTCTACGGCTGAGATACATCCCTCACTTTTTTTCTTCCATTTTTTTGAGACAGGGTCTTGTCTCCCTCAGTTGCAGAGGCTGGCCCCAAACTTGCCATCCCCCTGCCTCAGCCTTCTAAGTCTTTGGGATTTCAAGCATGTGCCATCATGCCCAGTTCTTAATTCCCATTTGCCTTGTAACCTAACATAGTCCCAGGTTCTAGGGACTAGGATATGGGCATCTTGGGGTGGGAGCATTATTCTGCCCACTCCTAAGGACTAAATGGTGGCAAGGAGCGTGGGGAGTAAATGTATCTAATGAGCATTTGGGGTTCTTGCTGAGGGGTGTGCTCCTGTCTTACAAAACCTCCAGTTCTCGGGTGCTTTGTGGTTTGCATTTTCTTTGGGGGAGGGGGAAATGTGGAATCTCGATTCAAGGGTTGACATGAGGTAAAAGCAAAGGTCACCCTCGACAGGAGGAGACCAAAGTGGATTACACAATTATTCACTCCACCTGTGTGTGCCAGGCCAGGCCCACAGGCCCAGGCTGGGAAGCTTCCTGAGGAGGAGATGCCTAATCTGAACTTTGAAGGAGAAATAGAAATCCATCAGATGACCATTGAGCTAGAGTGCAAGTTGGCACGGCGTGTATCAATGTGTGTGACGGGCCTGGCATGTGAACAGTGCTCCATCGATATTGCATTTCTAGAAAGAATACTCTGGTGTCATCCTACCCTATTTCCATTTCTTAGCTGGTCATGGACCTGCCAAGCTTAACCAAACAGGAGACACCTCCTTTAGGAGACGTCCCCTGCTGTTTGAGTGACCTGAGAGGTCTTTTTTCAGGAGCTTTCATTAGGAAAAGAGGAACATTAGTTTCTCATTTGATCTTCAATATGGCAATAACTTTTCACATCTAAAGAATGCTTCACACTTTACTGGATCCTTTCACCCACCAGCAGAAGAAGCCAAGGCTCAGAGAATTAACTACTTTTCCCCAAGGTCACACAGCTGTGTTGTAGAACCAGGACTGGGGTCCAAAGTCCCTGCTTCACAGCCAGAGGCCTGAGCACCTGTGAATTGCTGGGCATCCAGCCCCTTCCTTCTGGCTGCTGAGGCAGCTGGGGAGCAGGTCTGGTCGCCCAGTGCTGCCCACACCATTGTCCTCTCCCTGGGAAAGGGTTTTCTGAGGGTGGAAGTGGGCCCTGAAGCACAGGGAGAGTACATTGTTCAGCTGCACCTGGAGGGTGAGCTCATGTCGGCAGACAGAAGGGGAGGCGGTGCCAGGTTGGAGAGGGTCTGCCTGGTTCTCTGAGCCCAAGTCCCTATCTCCATCTTTGCTGTCTCCTCCTGGGAATTGTTCCTTTCCACGAGGCCTGGGCTGCCAATCAGGGGGCCAGGAACCTAGTAAGGCCAACAGAGTTCCTAGTTTCCCTGGTGAGAGTTGGGTCAGTGGGGTTTCCCTCTGTGTGGTGGGCTGGTTGTTAGGCCTGCAGAACCTTCTCTAAGAACAGGGCTGTGTGCTCAAGTGAACCAGAGAGCAGCTGAGGATCTCTGCACCTTGCATAGCACAGCTGTAGGAAGAAATCCAAGGTCGCCAGCATTTCTCACATGACTTGTTGGACCTCGGGGCTGTTCTCAACTCCTGATCTCATGGTTCCATTGCTGACACCTGGGGAAATGTGGGAACAGGTGCTCTCTAAGGTCCTCTCCTCACTCTCCCTCCAAAATACCAGCCCTCAGAGGCTCTGAACTATTGATGACTTTTGTCATATAATTTTGGCTGCCCAGCACCCTAGAGTCCCTCTTTGTTTTGAGATACCTCCTTTGCATCTTGGAGGGAAGCAGAGCTCTCCTTCTCACCACAGAGGTCAAAGGGACCAATGTGTTTCCTCCTCCCCCTTCTGGCTACTCAGGCAGGCACATATAGTCTAGGCTTAGGACTTTGAATCTGGAGGGAATGACCCAGAGACGAAGGAACAGGGGAGGATTCATTCAGAGAGGCCATGTCCACAGGCATGCAGGAGCGCTGAGATGGCATTCTGCATGCATTCTTTGTCCACAATGTCACGTCAGCTGAGCTCCTGCTGCCACGCCTCCCTGGATTCCTGCTTGTTCTCTGAGTCTCACTGGAAGTCTTCCTATGGATATTCTATATCCTCTAATATTTTTATAACATAGATTGGCTTGAGTTTGTTCTGTTACTTACAACCAAGAATCCTGACTGAGCTCATTGTGGGTGCTAAAAAATAATGGTTAAATGAATCTACACAAGCAATTTCTGTCCCAAGAAATGTCTCATACATGGCAACATTTGTTGCCTGTTTTTCTATTTTGTCAGCAATGCAATCCTAGCCAACACAAACCAATTTGTCTGGTCCCACAATTTCTGAGTACAGGCCTTCTATGGCATGCATCAGGGGAATCCAGAGATGGGTCACACTTGGTCTGTTTCCTAGGACCACTAAGACCAACATGGAGGACCAGCCTGGGCCAGCACGGAGGGCCTAGCAGAGTACAGTGGAAAGTCCTAGTAGAAAAGAAGACTTCTGGAGCTCCTGAGCCAGGACTTTAGGAGGGTGCAGGTCCAGATGGGTGGAAGGCCATCCTGGGCTAGAGGAACAGCTCAAGGGGTGTGGGAAATCCTGGGGCACGTATGAGTCCATATAGAGATGGACTTTCATGCTGATTGCTGCTGACATTTTGAGCAGGGGAGGGACAGCAGCACGAGCCTGGGTTTTGGAACCAACAGCCAAATGTTGCCATATATGAGGCAGAGCTCGGGCAAGTCACTTGAACTTTCTGAGCCTCAATGTCCTCATCTGTAAATGGAGGCAGTAAAACTCCACAGTTCATTACAAGGATTTGAGATATTTATGAAATAAAGTACCTGGTCCAGGAGGCACCCAACAAGGATCCCTGTGCTAGGACCACAAGCCCCCTCACCAGGGACCATGCCTTTTCTCTCCTAATTCTTGGCACAGTTCTTGGAACAGAGCAGGTGCTGGGTAACTCTCAAGTGGAAGACCCGTGGTTGGAGTTTGGCAGCTAGTGTGGAGGAAGGAATGGAGAGGTGTAACTGTAGGAGGGATCCAGGCCTCAGATTCAGAGCCACTCCTGGAGAGTGAGGCCTGACTCTAAGGAAATAAAACACTCTCGATTCAGCAGCTGTTTCAACCTAGGGGGTGAAGAAGAGCAAGGCTTCTAAGAACTGAGGGTTTCTTGTCCTGTGCAAGCAGAGACAGAGAAAAGGCTTCATGTTTTGGACTTTGAAGTGCTTGGTACACACTTAATTGAACATGCAGATGGGCCTAGGAATGAGATGGTGTGAATCTGAGAATTGGTATTTATATGTGGTGTTGAGGATTGATCCCAGGGCCTCACGTGTGCTAGACAAGAGCTCTACCACTGAGCCACAACCCCAGCCCCTTGGAGAGAGATTTTAGTTCAGAATATGGACATACTTTTAGAATAGGCTGCCTCTGGAGGTAACTGAATTCCTGTTGGTGGAGATGGTATGAACAGAAGCTGGGAAGCCATTGGTAGAAAAGCTGGAGCACAATGGTCCAATAGCTGGCTGGGAAGTGTATTTGTCAGCTTCTGCTGCATAAGAACCATGTAACTTCAGTGTTATACATCGGTAAGGATTATGGCTCACAAGTCTTGAGTGAATTGGGTTGAAAGGCCAGCTGGGCTGAACTTGGATGAGATCATTTGCAGGTCTGGAGTGGTCAGTCATTGGCTGATCTAGATTGCCATAGACGGGGTGATGCTGTGGCCTGGCTCTGCTCCACATGTCTTTGTCCATCGGCAGGTTGGCTCAGGCTTGTTCTCTTGGCTATGGTAGAGGTGCAAGACAGGAGACATGAACATGAAGGCCCCCTGGGACCTTGTCCCACAATTGGCACTCAGTCACTTCTGCTGCAATTTGTTGTCCAGAGCAGGCCACAGGACTGACTCAGAACTAAGGGGTAAGGATACAAATTCCAACTTGTGAGAAAGGTGGCAAAGCTGTGTGACAAAGTTGGGCACAGAGGAGGGTTAAGAGGGAGGGCCATTCACACAGTGCCTGGTGGTGAAGCCAGTGCTCTTCAGCCTGAGCTCTGTGCACGCCTAGGTTTCTGTGCATTTTTGCCAGGGATCCAGAGGCTGAGTGGGCTGGACTTTCCTCTGGACTATTAACTTAGGATAAAAAATGGGACACACTCCCGGTAGGTTCAAGGTGTTCACTACATACCTGGCATATTTTACCTCCCTATTTAATCTTTAAAAAAAACTCTATATTTTAAAAATATTTTTTAGTTGTCAATGGACCTTTAGTTTATTTATTTACATCCAGTGCTGAGAATCGAACCCAGTACCTTGCATATGCTAGGCAGGTGCTCTACCATTGAGCCACCACCCCAGCCCCTCCGTATTTAATCTTATAAGCACCCTTGCTATGGCTTTTATTATATCTACCATTTT